TTCAAGTTTGGATTATAAATTGAGATTAGTAAATGCAGTGTCTTATTCTCTTGAACGAAACCTGTTATCAACTTGCTATAATAAAAATCTTTGTCATATACTTTATTTAGAAAATCGTAATTTGGGATTATTATATCATGTGGATTAATAAGAAACATATTGATATCAGTTAGAACATGTCTCATAGTTAAAAAAAATCGTTTAGTAACTGAGGTTCATGATTTAATGATAATATGATCACAAATAGATGAAGGTATAGATTATTTTCACCAGCCAAGTAGCCACTTATTGTAAATTTTTGTCATGAATTAAATTTCTGTTTTCATTATTAGTACTGTCATTTTCATTTGATTTTAGAAAAACTTCTAAAATTTCAGAATACAGGGTGTGAGTCCTAACATTATGAGAATTATTTATTTTACCAGTTAAATTTTAGTATACTGAATAAGAGTTACTATTCAGTATTCTTTTCAAAAAACAATGAAGAAAAACAGATGACAGATATATTCTTTTGTAAAGAAAAATAGAAAGTATTTCTTTCAGTAAAAGAGAAAGATGAGAAAACGTGAATCTGGTAAAAGATTTCTTACAAGATTTATAAGTAAGAACCTTCAGTTCAGGAATGCAATTAATGTTTGAGTTAAATGACAAGAAAATATTCTGTATGTATTGCTATAAAGGAAAAGTAATTGACTTATTGTAAAAAGTCTAATAAGCTTTTTCAGAATATAAAAAGCTTTTTACAATATACACAAGAGATTTAAAGTCATTGTGATAGAATAGTATTTTAAAATCTGTCATATAATCTCTGCAATTTTAGCAAAGATTTCCAATGCGATGATTGTAATAGGTGGTTCAGAAGATAATTAATTTGACCTGGATTTGAAGGTAATACTGGATTAATGTCATTATTACCTAATGTAGATCAAATGATTAAATCCAACAATGATTTGTATTCATTATCAAAAGTGTAAATATTTTGAATTAGATGAGTCATAGCTTATTTTTTAAGGTAACAGATTTTTCTATTTTTTATTTTATTTATTTTATTTTTTGAATTAATAAGAAGGGGTAGTGAAAATTTAGCATGTATTTATAATTATAAAGTTCATCAAGATCAGATTTAAAAAGGAATATAAATGATATTAAATATAGTAGTATTAAATTATTAAAGTATTAATATTTATGTTTATGAAGTGTGTATATTTTATTTAATTTAATATTGTTAATAATAAAAAAACAACACTGCCATATTATTTTATACAGGTTATATTCTTGCAACAATCAATATTTATTTATTCTTTTTTTTATTACAAAAAAGTTTAATGATATATACGTATAAATATATAAAAAATATATACATATGTAATCATGTTTTATTTTTATACTAAATTGATTTTGCTAGACAAATAAAAATATAAGACGTAATTGTTTAAATTCTGATAAAATAAAGTAAAAAAATAAAAAGAACTAAATATTTATGATTGTTTAGGTGATTGTTATTCTTACAGAAGATTGTCATCATCATTATTGGTAGTGAAGTCAATTGTATTCATATTTGAAATAAGACTTATCTTTAGGACTAACGAGAGGTTTTGATTCTTAAATAAGCTTATTTGGGCTAAGCTGCTTTGATCCCTTCTTGATGTCCTTAGTGTTGCATCTCTAGAAGTCTAACTTGATTTGCTGCTGCTACTGTCACCACCTAATTGCATGTTGAGCTATGGTAAATTTAACAATTATTAAATATTACTATTATTATAATTAGTAAATACTAACGAGATATCTTTGAGGTTGACTATGTATTTCTCAAATGATATTTCTTTTTGTGATATCTAATCTAACTTTACCAGTTCATAATTGATCATTTCTACCATTATTGCAGTTATAGATCTCATCAATTGATTAATAGAATTTGTCTTATTTGCTAAAGACAATGACATATATTACCTAATATTTTAGGTGGTGGGATAGCAGAGGATCTTAGTTACACATATAAATATTAATCATGTGATATTAGTAACTTAGAATATATATATATTTTTTATTGTATTATAGTAATTATATCTGACAAAAAATTAGCTATATACAATCATTCTATATTTGACATGCATTCTTTTAAACACATTTTGTCAAGAAGAGGTCGCTTTTATTGTGATAGAAAAAGAGAAAAATCTTTAAGAATTCTTGAATTTTGTTCTTTAGCTTTTCCTTTGAATTGTCTATGGCTGATAGAATGTATTATTCTTTTATAGTTCATCAAATAAGTAAGAGTTAGAATGTATTTATTGCATATAGAATAACAAAGACGTGAATAGGTTGTTTGGTCAAGAGATAGATAATACAAATCATATCATGAATTTTTAAGAGATCGTAATATTTGAAAAGATGTATAAGATTGGTAAAATGTCTATCTTTAGCTTTTATAACTGGAGGCAAAAAACCATTATTCAAAAGAAGAAAATCTATGATTTCTTTTGCACAAGAAGGTCTATAATAGCTTATATTTGTGCAATGTTTAATGTCAAGGGAATATTGACATAAGTTGCAATATTTTTCAATTATGATCACAGCACAAAACATTCTGACAAGTCATTTCCTTTTTCTTATTTCTTTTTTTGTTGTTTTTGTTCTACTTTTTCTTTATTTATACCTTCAAATTCTAGATTTCTGAATAGATTAGCAAACTCTTCAACATATTGTATATTGACACTTCTTCCAAAAATTAAATCTTAATACTAGATATCGCAAAATAATTCTCTAGCATAATGAAAATTTCAAAGAGCCAACTCTGAATCAATAACTTTACCTTATATATTTAGATATGATTCAAAGTAATTAATTGATAGTGTGATACCTGCTAATTTTCCAAAAAGTGTTGCTATGCTCCTTTCTATTGGATTATACTTGGACTGTCCTTAGGCATGTATTCATACAGTCAAATAATTTAAATTGAAATTCTGAAAAAATTGACAGTATATTTTAATGTTTTTTAGATATTTCAGATTCTCGTCTGGTCCTCCATCTACCAATAACATTCAGATAGGTCGAGTTTTTCCATTGGTTTTCAACACATTATCATGTTAAAGATCTAGGATAAGACTTTCAAGATCTTGTATGTGTGTGAGTAAAAACATACCAAAGGACTATTGATAGTGTACAAAAATAGTAAGTTATCCTGTTCGTAACCCATCATTTAACTCATTTGGTTTGATCATAAGATAAACTGATAGAACTAACTTTTACCTATATACTTTTTAGAGAAAAATCATGGTCAGCCATACTAATGGGCTTATGAATTGACTGTAATGTGCGAAATGTCTAACCTACAGTATATACTCCAAGTCCTATCTTCGCCTTATCATCTTAAGAAATAATAATAAAATTATCAGCAAAGATAGTGGCAAATTGTCTTGCGCATTTAACAGATGCAAAATAATAGTAATCATCAGAATAGTCCTGTATTTTATTATGTGTAATTCTAACTATTGCAACCTATGCTGGATGGTGATGTGCTCTTACGGCAATAGAATTGAATTGATGAGACAGCAGATAATTGTTTAATGTTGTTTTCATCATATAAACATTATAATTCTCTTTAAGATTTTTATGCAAATTTTTAATGATTTTCACCTTAACTACTTCTTTTCATCATTTTTTGTCAGCTACTCCAAATTTGATCAAATTGTAAATATGATTATGTAAATTCAGATATTCAAAAAGAAGTAAAAGATAGCCAAGTTTATTATATAATATTATCTTCTTATTTTCAATAAGTGATTTTCTTATTTTTCTTTGCATTTTTGAGTATAATTAGCATTTCTTTTTAACTTAATAATTCTTTCTCTATTAGATTTTATTTCAGCTCGAAGACTCTCAATTTTTAAATACATATCATATCAAAATTAAGAATCTATTGTGATGTTGTAGATCTGCTTAAATTCAACAAGCTTTTTTTCAGTTGTTAATATTTCATTTGCTGCCCTTCTTTGTACTGATGTATTGATGGAGATATTTGATACAGGATCGACTGAGCGAATTGTAGATAGAATAGAAAGAGAAGGGATCGAAGTTTCTTTAAGCACAGAACACTTTAGTTTTATTGTTGATATATTATATAGATTATATAGTGTAGTTAGATAATCTCTAATAATATTTTCGATTTTCGTCTTATTCTTATTTTTGATTTTGCTCCATTCTTTTGCTACTGCATCACAAACTTTAATACAGTTAGGGGTACTATTTCCTGTTTTACTTATAATACTATATACAGTATATAAGCATTGGTGAATTCTTAGTATTTATTTATTAGTAAATTATATACTAGTTTCTTATTAAATTTGGAACTAACAAAGAAGATTTGATTGTTCATTTTTGCACTGAAAATAAAATTATTGACGCGTTTATTTATAAAAAAAGTTTTTATAATCAAAATATGAATGGAATGCGTTATGAAACTTTATAGCAATCTGAATTTCTTTTTTGTAGCGAAATATTTCTTCTCTGCAGCAATTCAAATTTCTTTTTTTGTAGCGAGAGAATGCAAAATTATTCCTTTCGCAGTAATACGCAATAAGATATGATCACTATAAAGAGATGATCAACATTATATTTTTTCTTTAAATTGGGATTTTGAATACTTGAAATCTTTAAATATATATTTTTTTGAATGTAAAATAGACTATTATATAATAAACTTTCTATTTTATTATTTTACTTATCATTTTTAATCATTTTAAAACTGATATAATATACTGATATATAAATTCTATAAAAGGAAATTAATCAACATGCACGTGATCAGAAATCTTACCTGGGGTCTCTAATAAAATGATATTAGGTAATATATGTCATTGCCCTTATAGATTTAACTAGAAATCATTTTTTACTTAATAAAGGAATATATTAGAATAATAATTCGCACCAAATCATCATGTCGATCAACCAATGAAATCAAACTTGGTCTAACTTAACGCGACGCGCCAAAAGATTCAAAAAGAATGTCTTCAACACGAAAATTGACTCGTCTAAATCCTAAGTTAGGAAAGAAAACAATTTATAAGCTCAATTGTTTTCCACGTACACCAGTTAGTACAACGAAGGAATTATTCAGTCGCACCGAACTTGAGTTGGTAGAATGTTGTAATTTTAAAGTTGAAACCGTAAGAAATCTTCAAATACGAGCTGCCAGATGGATTACACCAGAATTCGTATCTGTATGTATATCAATCTTTAATAATATAATTTTCAAATTGTTAAAATTATTTAATATTGTCAAATGTTAACAGGTGATGGATATGATCATGGAAAATACTTCACCATTCTTGGCAACTTCATTAAAAGGTTTAGATGAGGCTTTAGGTGGTGGAATACCATTCTCTTCCGTTACTGAGTTCGTTGGACCAACTAGGTCCGGTAAAACACAGTTATGTTTGACACTTTCAGTATTGGCGACATTACCAGAAACTATGGGCGGACTTGGTGGTGGGGTGTGTTATATCGATACTGAACGAAGTTTTAACGCGGACAGGTAAAAGGAAAAGGCACGCAACAAGTCAGATTCCTTTTTTTTTTTTGTTCTGATTCGACTTTGTTATAATTTAGGCTTATAACTATAGCTGAGAATCGATTTCCTCAATACTTTGATAAAGATGAACAAGGTCAAGCCAATCTTGATAAAATGGCATTGTCCATTCATAAGATGGATATTGCGTCTTCAAAAGATTTGATAAAAAGGTAAAAAAGAAGAAATTTTCAAAAAGAAAAAATATTTAAAGATTTTAAACTTCATAACTAAAACTTACTTCCCTTTTTAGATTGGATGAACTTCAAGAATTCATAATTGAAAATGATGTTAAATTATTAATAGTAGATTCGATTGGATCACTTGTTAGAAAAGAATATCAGAATCCCGTAAAGCAATATGGATGGGGAGGGCCTTTGGTGGAAAGAAATGACGTTTTACTTCAACAGGCATCCAAACTGAAGAATTTATTATTTCCTTAAAATTTCGATTCGTTTTTATTTTTATTTTTTAACGCAAGTTATGTTTAACACGTAAATTTTTTTTTTTTTTATAGATATTTGGCCGAATCATTTCATATACCTATAGTAGTAACAAATCAAGTGATCACTAGGAATCAAAGTGAAACCGTATTACCAAAAGAATGTTCTCGTCCGATCAAAAAGTCGCGCGAAGGAGGTATTTTCAATCTTAAAATTTTTAAGGAAAATATTTAATTATAAATTAATTTTTTTTAAATTGAAGGTCCAGAAATTACTGCAGCATTAGGAAATACTTGGGCACATTCTGTTACTACACGTATAATGTTGAATACATTTCATATTAGAAATTTATCAAATATGAACTTTACAACATTGAATAATTTATTTCCGGCAAATTTGCAAGAATTAACTATTGTAAAATCTCCTATTGCTGCAAATATTACAATTTATTATACTATTGAGAACGAAGGAATCGTGGAATTCATTTCGTCAAAAAGCACAGAAGATAACCAAAAAGTTGGCATTATGGAGGAAATTGATATATGTGACGCAGAGCAAAGTAAACTATCGAGTAAAAAGAAAAAATCTGACGTTGCTGAATGGTTTATATCAAAATTGTGGGCATAATCTTTGCGGTTGCTAGGTTCATAAAACGTAATTATAATAATAATAAAATAAAAAAAAAAAATAAAAAAAAAAAGAATGGTTGCAACCATTTTTGCAACCATTTTCTTCGAGATAAAAAGCAAAGCTATGCTTTTATAACTTATTCTCTTCCTAACTTCTTTAACCTGTCCGTGGCAATACTCATCATATCCGACAAACCTCTTTTTAATTCTTCTTCAATATTTCCTTTTGTTATTGCGTCTTGTAAAATAGGAATAAATTCTCTTCTTGATTTACCATTAACAAAAATGACAAAACGGAAGCCAAACTTTTCTTCATATTTATTATTTAATTCTTTTAATATTGTATCAATAATTTCATCTTCATCTAAAGAACTTGATTTATTTTGATTTGAATTATAATTTGTTGAAGACTTGAGATAACCTTGTTCTTTTAAAGAAAATGAAGAAAGGTTATTTTTGTTTTCACCTAAACGTGGATGAGCATTAATTATTTCTAATTTTTGAGAGATTGGTAATTCAGTATTTTGAATAAATTTTGTTGCCGAGGAAATTAACGAATTATAAGATGTGTATGGACGAGAAGAATATAATGAATTTGCCAATGGTGGAGCTGATTCGAATAACACGTTTATTGAACTAATAAATTCATCATATGAAGATTCATTTAATTCGGAGATTGGTGGTAAATTCATTTCTTTGGTTAAGGTTTAAAAAAAAAAAATAATTCAGAGAAGTTATTTTATCTTGTGACAATTCTGCATGCTGATCAATGTTGTTGATTACGTAATTTTTGTTTTTTTTTTTATAAAAAAAAAAACCGAATTTTTTTTTTTTCTTTTTTAAAAAAAAAAAAGAAAAAAAAAATTGATGGATGAATCAAATAATTTAATATTAAATTTTATCACGGATGATGTTCCTATTGATGAAAGTCCTAGTTTAAGATCAAAATTAAAACATATCGGGGGAAGTTGGAAAAATAAAAAGAAAGTTCGAAAGTTAATAAAAAAGAATTCGCAAGTCCATTCTCAAAATAGTTCAATTGATAGATCACAAAGGACAAACAACACCGAAAATCAAGATGAATCAATTCGGGAAAATAATTCAGTTCCAGGAAATTTCATAAATTTTCACAATATTAACGTAGATACTGGAAATCATCTTAATTCTCAAAAAAGTACATATTCTCGAGATAATTCAAATACTCAAAAGAAATTAAATAGCAAAACTCAAATCATCTCATCAATCTTCAGTTATAATCCCGAAATCCCAAAGATTACGGATGATGATGATGATGATAATGTATCACCAACTCGAAGGTCAACTACAGATCATGAACCGAGTAATGGACCAATAAATGATACTTATTCGTTTAAAAGTATGGGTTTAAATAGCGATTTGGTTGAAAATATTAAAAATAAATTGGGAGTTGAGAAACCAACGAATATTCAACGTAGAGCGATTCCCATCTTAATGTCTTCCATAAGCAATAACGAAAGCAAAGAAGAAAATTTTGATGTTGTAGTCCAAGCTGAGACAGGATCTGGCAAAACTCTGACATATTTATTTCCAATAATACATCAATTAATAAGCATTACGGCTGATATTCAGGATAATAAAATACTTTCACGTTCAATTGGAACTTTAGCAATTATATTGACTCCAACACGTGAATTAGCGATTCAAATCTTATCAGTATTAGAGGCTTTAATTAATATTCCATCTTCAAAGCAACATCATTTAGCTCATTGGATCGTTGCTGGTAGCGTCATTGGTGGCGAAAAGAGACAATCCGAAAAAGCTAGATTACGTAAAGGGATAAATATTTTGGTTTGTACTCCTGGTAGACTGTTGGATCATTTAAAAAACACGAAATCTTTTTTGGTGGAAAATTTATGCTGGTTAATACTTGATGAAGCTGATCGTCTTTTAGAATTGGGATTTGAAGAAACTCTACAATCAATACTAAAAATTTTAGAAGAAAAAAAGAATGGTTCTCAGCCTTTCCCCTCTACTAAATTTTGGCCAAATAGAAGACAAACAGTTCTTTGCTCAGCTACTTTAAAGGATGAAGTTAAGCGATTGGCGGGATATGCTTTATCCAATCCCATTTTCATCGGAGGAAAGAATGAAGAAATTTCTCCTTTAGGAGAGAAGAAGGATGAGAAGAGTCCAAAAGAAACAAAGTTCAGCACACCTAATCAATTGAAACAAACTTATGTCATAACACCAGCAAAATTACGTTTGGTTACTTTAACGGCAATTCTAAAATCCATTTTCAATGTCAAACGAACAGAAAGTTTCATGAATCACAAAATTATAGTTTTTATGTCAAGTTGTGATTCGGTAGATTTTCACTTTGATCTGTTTACTAAAGCCGGAAAGATTAGCGAAGAATTAACAGAAGATGATGATCAATCGATTTCTACCATTGCAGTCATTCCTGGGGCGAAAATATTTCGATTACACGGTGACTTATCGCAAAATGTTCGTACAAAAACATTTAATGAGTTCAATCAGACAGATTCTGGCATATTATTTTGCACGGATGTTGCTGCAAGAGGTCTCGACCTTCCAGACGTCGCAAAGATCATCCAATATGACCCACCAACGGATTTAAAAGATTACGTTCACAGAGTTGGTAGAACTGCAAGGTTAGGTAAAGAAGGTGAAGCTATATTATTTTTACTTCCAAGTGAAATTGAATATATTCATGTTCTAAGGTCACAAGAAATTTATGCTGAACCTGTTCAAGTTGAAACGTTATTAGAAACTCTGACAGTTTCAGAGAAGAGAAACAAGGAGGGGTATGAAAAAATCGCAGCCGACCTTCAATTACAATTCGAAAGATACGTTCTTTCAAATTCCGAGGTGAGCCTTGACAAAACATAATTTCTTTTATTTATATATATACGTGTCATTAACAAAAGGATTGATTATTTTTCAGTGCATCACATTAGCTCAAAAAGCATATTCATCACACATCCGCTCATACGCGACGCATACAACCTCGGAAAAACGGATTTTTCATGTGAAGAAATTGCATTTAGGTCATGTAGCAAAAAGTTTTGGCCTACGAGAAACGCCATCAAATATCAAGAATGAAGTGGTCTCCCCTTCGAATAAATTTGACGATAGGAAGAATGTTTATAAAAAGAAAAATATCCCCAATAAAGAAGGAAAGTGCAATCAAAGGAATATTAAAAAAAGAAATTTTGAAATAATGAACGAGTTTTCGATTGGAAATTATGAAAGTATGATAAGACCAATTACAAGAAGAAAACGAAAAAGAAAATAATAGTAATAAAAAAAAATTTTTTTTTTTAATCTGTCCGAACAAAAAAAAAAAAAAGATTTAGATGTTTTCAAAAATGGAATTTGCTTGACAACATGACAGGTTTTTTTTTTTTCTTTTTTTTTTTTTTTTCGCAGATCTATAAATGTGAAACGTGTAATAAAAATACCACTTATAGTATACAATACTTCCTTGGGAAGTTCAGTTTGTGATTCTTGAGAAAATTCTGAAATCAATTAAGACTTTTATGGTATCAAGTCCATTCATCTGTTTGTTAAATGAAAGAAATCAAACTAGTTTTGACATGATTTGTTTACGTGATATTTGATGCACCCCAAATAAATAATTTCCTTGATAAGTAAGATAAACAATAACTTTTGAGTCAAAGTTAATTTAAACACACATTAAAGGTATATGTAAAAAACCCCAAACCTGAAATAATGTCACGCGATTAAAATTACCAAATGGCGGTATTATTTATGTAAGCTTATAAATTGGAATTGATGGATGATAACTGAGCTTCATCCTTCAACCTAATTTAAAATATCCACACGAAAATTCAAGGTGATGGACTTCGATCCTTTCGTAATGTATAAATTTTTTTCATAAATGATTTTTTTAAAATAACTCTAGTAAATTACAAAAGAAGCCTCGATAAAAAGTTTAGTTAACCAAGGACGATCGAACGGATGTAGGGTTAGGGCTAATGATCATGTAATATTTCTACAAACGAAAGGGATGAAAATTAGCATTTTCCCGAAATAAACAATTCATTTGTCGGATGAAAAGTTTGTATTTAGGGGTGAAGTATTGTATAAAAAGGATTTTATCTTCATATGATAGTAATTTGAATTTCACTTTCAAAGTGAAAACTTTTTTCGTGCCATACCTTTTTCGCGTCTTTTTTTTTTTTTTTTTTTTAATTTTTCACACTTTTTTTTTTATCCTTTTTTATTATTATTATTCCTTTATACATTTATCTCCTTTTATCGAAAATTTCCTTTTATTCCTTCGACTTTGATACTTCATCCTCGATATTTAATCATAATGGAACGATTTTTCTTAGTTAAGCCTTGGATAAAGAAAAAAGTGTTATGTTACCTATTAAATGAAGAATATAATAAAACGCCAGTTAGGGCACAAGTTTTACGGGTAAGTTGATTTTTTTATATCTTTTATCTGATGCAAACAATTTTAGAAACACATCATTAGCTATCAGACAAATATTTGACTTTTTTATTTGAACCGGGGGATTTTTTTTTGTCGGTCACGTCATACCGTCTAGTTTACTAATTCTCAAGAAGAATTAGAACCAAATGAATTAGTGTCAGCAGAAATTCACGACAACCAACATTTTATTAAATGTCTTTTTACGAACGAAAGCGTTCTTGACTTCGAATGGTTTGTTTTTTTTTTTTTTAAAAAAAAAAAAAAAAAAACGATGGTAGTCCCATTTTATCGTCATTTTTTTTTTTGTATATATATTAAAGTTTTGATTACCAAATTCTTTATTTATCTAAATTAAGAAAAAAGAATTGATTGCTGAATTTTCTTCTTGCAGAAAAAAAAACAAGTTTTTTTGAAACCACGAGAATTTTAACCTTAATTATAAAACTAATATTTTTTTTTTTATTTTTTATTTACGACGCGTCCGGTTAAAAAATTATCATTATAGGAAAAATTTTATGGAAATTAATGGTATAAAGCGAGCGTTTATCATAATAAAGGATTACACAATTTCATGCGAAATTGATCCTAAAAATAATAAAACCGAGTGTTTCCTAATGATAAAATATTTTACTTGCAGTAAAAATATTCCTGAAGAAACAGAAGGAAAATCCTTTTTACATATTTGTGAAGAGATGGAAGTTAAAGAGTCCCTTCAAGCTCAAGTTGTTAAAGATAAAAAACAAAGTCCCCTTGACCATCCTGGTTGGAACGTAATATTTAATTTTTTTTTTTTTTTTTTTTTTAAAAAAAAAAAAAAATACAGTATATATATATTATATATATATACCAAAAGAATTGAAAAACAAAAAAAAAAAAACGAATAAAAAATGAAATTTTATGTAGGATTTTGGGACCATGTTTTATAGTAATTCGGTTGACATTCATATTATTCCACCGGATCAGTTAAGAACCATGAGAAATATCCCGGGTAATTAAAACAATACGTTTTTTAAACTTTTCAATCTTTCCTTTTCATTTCTCACGTTTAATAAATTTTAACTAGGGTGGAATTTTTTACCGAGAAATAATAATGGTTTGTATATATTTTAGCACGAATATATATTTTACATAAAATTAATATTGCATTTTGATCGGTACCAAAAAAAGACGAAGATATATCTAGTAGTAGTGAAGAATACGAAACCGAATCGTCCGCATCTACGGAGTGGAACCCCGGTTCTCCAGAATGTATGTTTATTTTATCTTATCTGAATATCTAATCAATTAATTAAATATTAAATACTTTTTGTTAGCATCACGATATGACTCGGATGGGAAAATTAGCCTTAACGATGAAGATTTCGCCATTATAATTAAAGGAAATTATTTAAATTCTAAGCGGTCAAGTGCTGAAGAAGAGGAAAATGAAAATAATCGAGCGGACACTGTGAAATATGAGGAAGCTCATTCCACACAAAATAAAAGAAAGAACCTTGAAAAGGATCCTGATGATAGTGTACCTATAAAGAAACAAAAAAAATTCTATGACTTCTTTCTGTAGTTTCGTTTAAGGTTAGTGAATATTATTTTTGAATTTTTGAATTTGTTTTTTATTAGTTTACCAAAAGATCTTTATTTTAATTTTTTTTTCTTCCTTTCAATGTTTAGGAACTGATTAAAATTATTACAAGCATGTAGTTATGGATTAATAATTATAATAATTGTGAATTATATAAATGTCAAATGAAAATTGTGAGCGTTTGCAATATTAATATATTAAAAGATCTAAAATTTTAAATATGAAAATGTGTAATGTAAATTCAAAGAGAAATTAGAATATGTACCGGTAATTTTTCTTTTAATAATTAAACCATTTTTTTTTCCTTAAAAAAAAAAAAAAAAAAAAAAGGAAAAATTCGGATTTCCTTTGTCAAGAAATTTTCATATTACGTTTAAATATATTTTGTATATAAATGTCGTCCATTGTTTTAACAAACCATGAATCTTTGACATGCAATATGATAAGCCATGTTATAAATATTAATGAGGAGAAGTATAATAAATAAGTATATCTCACTCCATATAATAATGAATAGATTGTTATTATTAATAACAATATATTAGTTGTAAATCTTGATTTTCTAATAAAAAAAAAAAAAAAATTATTTTTTTAACAAAATAATAATTTACTATTAAAAACAAAACAATTTAATTTACCTTCCAGTTGTTCGAGGTAACTTATATCCAATAGTTATAATTTGTACATAAAATATAATTGGTGCTATGGCCAAGATACTATGATCCCATGAAAATGGTGCAAACCAATTAACTGACATATTCCTTATCCAGACCATTAAAACAGGTATATTAAATGGCAATAACATAAATAATAATAATAATATTGATTGTTTATAGTGATAATTATCCCAGCTTTCTTGAACATTCGTTGATTTATACTAATATATACACATATTTTTAGAAAAAAAAAGTAGAAGTCATAATGATAAATAATATATCGGGACAAATAATAAAAATATCATAATATATCTTTTTTTTACTTACCCCTGATCGAGCAACTATTAACGATTTAACACATGATACAATATGAACAAAAAATGCAACGAGAAATGCAAATTGATACGGTACAAAAGATGCAACAAGAATTAAAAGTATCGTTATTGTAATTACACGCCTTCTCAATTTTGAAGCCTTTGATTCCGAAGGCCTATATCATGTTGGCAAGATTAAGTTAAAAAGAATGATTTACGTAGATGGATAAATAAAAGAGATATATGTGTTGAACTTACCTATGTTTTATAAACAAATTTTGTCGACTCATGAAAACAGCAGCTCCAGCAAAGGCCTTTATAATGATTGTTATAAGTACCCAGAAAAATGCAGTTATGCCAATACTCATTAGAAAAAATAATGGTGGTAAAAACCAGAAAAAGGGATCCTGAATTCCGAGTAATGTATCATTAACATTAAATGATGATTTTGCTTTAATAACTTTTTGCATATCTCCTGACGCATAATCCATTGGAAATAAATCTACTAGTGAATATGTTTTCGAAGCTCGAGAGACAGACTGATAAATAGATAATACTGACACCATAATAATAAATTTCAAAAATGTTTGTCGAATAAAAAGTGTCAACCCACATCCAAAGCTCATAAAGGGCTCTAAAAAAAAAGATAATAAAAGTAAATAAAGAGATTGAAGTTTTGAAATAGCAATAAATACTTACCACCGCGATTATATTCTCTAAACTGCGCCCTTAGAGTCATAATAACTATAATAAAAGGAAAAGCAACGATAATGGTTTGAAACCGCATAACTATTTTACCAAGACTTCCATATAAATCCCATTCGATATCTATTGTTAATGGAATTGAACATGTAGGATCCATCCAAAATTGTAATTCAAGTCCTTTACGGAAATTGGGTGCATTAACAGGTGTCACAAAAGGAGATTGCCCGTGAATATTCAAATTTGCATATTCAATGTTGACAAGAAATTTAGATTCGTACATAGACGAGATAGACTGACGTACAAACAATGCAAAATGTTGTTCTAACAAAAAATAAATTTTTTAGTACGATAAATAAAGTAGAATATTATAAATAAAATATAATGAAAACATCGTTATTTTACCTACACATCCTGTACGACGAACCGACATTTTATATGTCATTAAACTACTATCAATAATTGGAATGCGTAAAATTGATACCATGGCTTGGTGTTCGGGAAATCCATCAATATGAATTCCATCAATTATAAGATCTGAACATTAAAAATAACAAGTATTTTAATCTTAATGATTTTGATAGATTTTCATTAAAAATATATCATCCAGACCTTTCATAGACGAGTTATTCAAATCCATCATTGTTAACCTTTCATCAAAGAATTCCCCAATTAAGAATCCCTCCATAAAAACCTTATTCTGAAACATAATAGCGATATATTGATAATCCCCCAGATCACTAACATTTAATTTTAAATAATTAAATGTTAAACCAGAAAACGGATGTTTCAAATCTCTTCTTGAAGCTGGCAATAAAGATACTTCATTAGATGCTATGTGACAAGAAAGTCTTGGAGCTGTAGGTAAATCTATATTTAAAGATGAATGTTCATCTTTATTCTGATGATCCGGAACCTCTGTTGGCATTACATCACATAGAAGAATTTCTACCCCAGGATCTTTTGACAAATATTGGTCTGTCAATAAAGAGAATGTTGAAACTGGTTCTACTGGCGGTATTGGCATCAAGTATACTTGAGATGTTAAATTCCACTTATTTAAAACTATTCTCTGTCCCATATCTAAAAATTTGTATGACACCTTTTCTAAATTTAATATTCCAAAAAACTCTAATTGATTACAAATATAATATGATATTCCCCCCAAAAATGTATTTATTAATTATTAAATTAATGATGATAATAATAAATGGATTATGATAAATATTTATTTTTATTACCTCTCTTGGGCTTATTTAATTTTAAATCAACTGGATCTTCAAGTCCAGTCAAATAAAATTTTCGAAATGCCGCCATTCTTTCTACGCTTGTTTTTGTTTGTCCAGGATGTCTAATATCGACAATACTTAATAAAGAGGTTGCTACAACCTTGACCAATTGTTTGCACCATAAAATGGCTTGATGATCCATTGACGTCCATACATTAGGAATAGACGTGGTAAAAACAGTAAAACCATGAGATGCAGGCACAAGTGAATTTATATTGGCAGAATCTGAACATACAATAGTATCCAAATTTCCACCAGCAATAGATATTAAAGTAACGTCCGCCAAAGAATTCGCAGAAGTTGCACTTTGAGAATAACCATTTCTCCAAAACTCATTAATGTCAGTATAAATCTTGCTGATTTGCCAATCAAATGGAAAAGGCGGTAAAACATGTGGAGTTGCCAGTGTTAAAATGGTATTTATAGATCCAGGTTGGTAATTTGACATTGTAAACAAAGTCCTGGCAACTACACCACCCATTGAATGTCCGATTATAATAACAGAAGTCGGATCCGGATGTGGTGTTCTAGTAGTATTCTGGGTTTTTCGTGTCAATGGATACAATGATAAAATATATCGAATCGCATCATTAAGATATTCTGCCTGTTCATTCAGAGAATGCCCATGAAGCGCAGAAAATTCTTCATTAAAATCAACTTTAATATATGATGTCATAAGAAATAGAAACTATTTTGAATAATGAATATTACTATAAATACAAATCATTTCGAATTGTAAAAACCCAGATTTTCTACCTGTAAAAAAATCAAGCGTGCTAACGCCCATTTCAAACGATGCTGGGTCTCTCGAAAAAACTTCAGAGAAAATCACTGATGTCTCTGAAGCTATTGAACGAGCTTGTTTATAGCTACCAGCATTACCTGGAATAAAAAGGGCCGGAATTCCAGTTGGCTGTATATTTTCGTTAGAAAATTTGGTAAAGTAGCTTTAAAAGTGAACGAATTAATTTTTAAAAGTAGTTTCGTACCTGATCATTATCGTAAACTCGATCCCTGTAAAGATACAGACTATATTTTCCAGCAAATCTTGTTTGTTCACTATCAAAATTATCTTGTCTAATATATGAAGGGTACATACTCGAAATATTACAACCTTTAGGATCTCTTTGATGGTAAAAAAATGAATGCATAATCATACCCCCAAAGATAATTGTTATTAAAAATATAATTACTATGGAATAAGAAAATGATAGTGATGCTGAAGCATTTCGCATTGAGAACGAAATTCCAAGTTTCCATGGCGTTGAAAAATGGTTTGCAAAAGAATTAGTCGAAGTTTTAATGTTATTTTGAAAAGTATTATTTAAAAATGAAGTCTCAGATGAAATTGGGGAGGGAGTTCTATCTCCCTGGAGTTGATCGCTCTGTAAGGTGTCGACTTCTTCATAACGATGTGACCCTATTTCGAGTGATTCCCGCTCTTCTGTTTCAAGAAATCCCATTTTTTTTTTCCACCTTTTTTTTTTGTTCTATGATACTGCTACTTGAGTTTCCACTTCCTTCGAAACATGAGACAAATTTCAACTGATTTGATTTATTCTCAAAGTGTGTTTGTTACAAATTATATAGCTGAACGGAAACTTGAAGGTAACTCTTAAGAAAGTTCTCTTTAAATTTTTCCCTGTCAGATTACACGAAAAAATGCTGCAATATAAAAGGCAGTGTATAAGTTAAAAATCCGAAAGGCATGGCACTTAGATGATCTATTATAGTAAATCCGATATATAGTAGATAACAAACATCTTATTTGATATATTTGATATCACAGGTTCTACATCTATTTAACTGTTCTCCAACCTACAACCATGTCGGATTATTTCTCAAAAGCGGCTGCATTCGCGCAAAATGCAGCAAAATTATCTAAAAAAGTTTCGGAAGGGATTGTTGAAAATGCGCGTGAATTTGGATTGGAAGCAACTTCCTCGGGGCATTATTTTGACACCTCAGAAGAAAAAATGAGAGATATAAAACGACAATTAGATTCAAGGCATGACAGAGAGAAAATGGATGGGTTGAAAAGGTTGATTGCGGTATGTGAAAGGGAAATTCGACTTGCAAGAAGCGAAAACAAAAAAATAAAAAAATTTGGCTGTTTATACTGTTAAGTCGGCATTATTTAGAAATTATTAAAAATGATAATAAAATTTTATCTTTTATTTAATTTATTAAAAACATAATTTAAAAACCGTAGATGATATCTAAAGGTCGCGATGTATCCGAATTCTTTCCTGATGTTGTAAAAAATGTAGCATCCCAGAATCTTGAAATTCGAAAGCTAGTTTATATATATCTACTCCGATATGCTGAACAAGAACCTGACCTTGCACTCTTGTCAATTAACACTTTTCAAAGAGATTTAACAGACCAAAACCAACTGATTAGAGCAATGGCCTTAAGAGTAATGTCTGGTATTCGAGTGCCCGTAATAAGTCCTATAGTTTTATTAGCAATTAAGAAATGTGTGACTGATTTATCAGCTTATGTGAGAAAAACTGCAGCCCACGCAATTCCAAAATGTTATAGGTATTACATATTTTCACTTTCTTCTTAATATTTACAATTTTTAAGTTAGGCTCATCCTGATCTCTTTTTAATAGCTTAGATCCTACTCAGAAAGATGCCTTGGTTGACATAATTACTACCCTTCTGAAGGACAATTCTTCTTTTACAATTGGAAGCGTCATAATGGCCTTTGATGAAGTTTGTCCCCATAGATTTGATCTAATACATCCTCATTTCCGAAAATTATGTCGGATGTTGATCGATGCCGATGAGTGGGGGCAGATCGCCATCATGGGGTTGTTGTTGAGATACGCGAGGTATGAAATTCGATATTATATTTTCGCGTGAAAATAAAAAATTAGTCTTTAATGATTCCATTATTGTACACATAGAACTCAATTTTTGAATCCAAACCCTAAAGTAAGCGAGAAATTTTATAAATATGCATTCGTTGATTAGTTTGGATTTTTATGTTTACATTTTTTTTTTTTAAAGGGACCACGTGTGTCTAAAAAGAAAAAGTCGAGGGCTTTTTATTCTGATGATGAGGATTCAGATAAGTCGAATGATTCCCTTGAAAATTCATTTATTCTTGATCCAGATCATGAATTACTGTTACGTTCTTGTCTTCCACTTTTGCAAAGTCGGAATAGTGCTGTATGTACATTGATATTTAAATATTGTTGAATTGTGATTTTTTTTATTTAAAGACAATAATCTTCTAAAGTCAATTCTTCTAAAGTAATCGCTTTTTTTTTTATCTTTATAGGTGGTCCTTTCGGTTGCTAAGATTTATTATCATTTGGCCCCAGTTGAAGAAGCATATAAATTGGGTAAACCTCTTGTGAGATTGCTGCATAGTCATCGTGAAATCCAATATGTTGTACTGGCTAATATTGCTACTATGGCGACACAAAGACCAGTATGTATTTTATGATTTATTATTTATTTTTATCATAACATTGAATATTTATTAATCTTTCTTTATTTGAATTGATGTCAAATAGTGTCTTTTTGAACCTCATCTTCAACAATTTTTTGTCCGTTCAACAGATCCAACTTTCATTCGTAACCTTAAATTGGAAATTATGACATTAATTGCAACCGAGAATAATATTACGGTTTTGCTTAGAGAATTACAAGAATATGTTAAAAGTCCTAACAAGGAATTTGCAACTTCTGCGATTCAAGCCATTGGTCGATGTGCAATTGGCATGCCAGATATGGCAGAAAATTGTCTTAATGGATTAATGAAACTGTTGTGGAGTAAGAATGGTAAGATAACTTTCTTTTATATCCTTAAGTTCAAAAAATATACTAATATATAATTTCCATTTAAAGATGCTGTCGTTGCAGAATCTGTTGTAGTTATTAAAAGACTTTTACAATTAAGGCCTCAAGATAATGCAGATTTAATAATACAACTAGCTAGAGCGCTCGATCAGATTACTGTTCCAATGGCTCGAGCTAGTATATTTTGGCTTGTTGGTCAATATTCTCAAAATCTTGAAAAGGTGGCCCCTGATATACTTAGAAAAGCTGCTAAATCTTTCATTAATGAGGCCGATGTAGTTAAATTACAAATTATTAATTTAGGTGCCAAATTATATTCACTTAATCCAAAAGATCAAATCCTTAACTTACTTTTCCAATATGTCCTTAACCTTGCACGATATGATCTGAATTATGATATTAGGGATCGTGCAAGACTTCTTAGAGGCTTAATTATGATAATTGGGCATAAGGATATAACATCTGATAATGGAGAAATCGACGAAGCTCAGCACACTGATTCAATCCAAAGTAGTATTTTGAAGGAGAATTTAAAGCAAATTCTTTTATGTGAAAAAGAAGCACCATCTGAAGAGAGTCCGTCTGCGGGTAACGACCTTTTTTTTTTTTTTTTTTGTTGGTAAAGGTCCACGTAGTAAGCCCTTGACAGCGAGCGGCTCAGTATAGATTTGTTACACTTCAATACTTTTTTTTTTCCTTTATAAAAGGACGAGATCGTTTTACCATAGGCTCAATGGCACTTGTCTTGAATCACTCTATACCTGGTTACGAACCATTACCTGATTGGCCAACCGAAATACCCGATGGCTCAGCGCGGAACAATTTGGTAATTCATATTATTTTGGTATGCACAATATTTTCACTTAAACGACTAATTTTTATTTTTATTTTAGGACGAAACATATAGCCGATCGCAAGCTGTGAAAGGATTCGGAAGTGATTCTTTTGGTGATTACGCACCATCGCCTATTTATGATAAGCCTCTCGTTACAGATAAACGAAAAGATGTTTATGACCTTGACCGTTTTTATGAATCGGAAAGTTCTTCTGATGATGACATTACACACGTGAAAGCTTCAGGTTGGATGGTTACAAAAGTTTTTTGTTTTTAAAAATTATAAATAGGTTTTTTAACGTCATCATAAAACATCTACAAAAATTAGGACTTCGTTATGATTCTATCGGGGACGAAACTTCCGAAAGTGAAGAGGAGGAGGAGGAAGAAACAAGCGAAGAAGAAGATGAATCTTCAGAAGAGGATGAGGAAGAAGAGGAGGAAAGTTCTGAAGAGGAAGAAACGAGTGAAGAAACGTCGGAAGAAGATGATGACTACGATGAGCAAGCGTCATTAGTGGAAAAGATACAAGGAAAAGAAACGAACGAATCACAAACAGCCAAATTTCGTTAAAAAAAAAATAAAAATAAAATAAATTCCAAAGTTTGATAATAAGTTTAATAAGTTTCACCTAGTTTCACCGTAAAAATAGTCATAAATCCTATTAATATTAATTATTTATTAATACATTAATAATTTTTTTTTTGAAACTATGATATTTAGGGTTGGATCGGTCCAATCCGGTCCGGTCCTTAGCATATATAGTATTAAAGTTTAATTTTAAAATAAATTGTTTTTATTATAAATGAATATAAATATAAAAATTATATACTAAATAAAATTGTTTAATATTAAAAAAAGTGGTCCTTTCTTCTTACTTATTACTGTTTTCTATATTAACTGTATTATTTCTGCTTCTAATTTATTTCTTAATGGTGAAATAATTAAGCAATTGAAAAAACTTATTCTGAAGTTACACTTGTAGTTTAAATATAAATAATCTCTTGCAATTTGACTTAAAATTAGAAAACCTTATTATTGTAATTGTTATAATACCTGAATGTGAAAGACAAGTGCACAGATGTATTCAGCAATCTCTATTGACTAACAAACTCCTAATGGGATATGTTATTCTCAGAATAGGTAGCATGTATATTCGAAATGAGTAGCATATTATAGTTAAATCTCGATTAAGGTTAAAGAGATCAAGTCATTCATCTATATCTTTATAAATATTCTTAGTATCAACATAATTTATAAATAAATTTGTCACTATAATAAAAGATCAATTTATTTTTCTAATGGTATTGTTAAATACCTATCTAGCTCTCCTTAATATTATACCTGTGATGAAATAGTTGAAATAAAATTATTATTATAATTTTATAATTGTTGAAAAACATTTCTTATACTTATAATATCATCTAATATAAATGCAATAATTAAAGTAGATGTTAAAAAATTTTCATTTAACTTTAATATTAAGCTTTTTGCTTTATTAATATCATTGTCATTTTTGAATACAGATAACTTTGCTCTTGAATTTAACAATAAAGAAATTTGTAATAATTCATCTAAAATTGATAAATATTCCTCTAATTTTTAATAAATTACATTTGCTATTATATATTTTGAAAATTTATCATTATTTTAAATATTTTTGAATACTAAAAAAAAACTGATTATATATCACATAATTAAAAGCAAAAAGAAGAAAAGTTATGTATTTAATTAATTTAAGAAATTTATTATATTCTATTAAAAAATAGAAAAGTTATTAAAATATATAAATTTATTATTTATTATAAAAATATTAATTTTAAAAATAAAATATATACATTAATAATTTTACAATCTTTTATTTATTAAGAAATCATTGACTAATTTCTTCACTATTAGTAACAAGTAAATTTAATACTGATCTCATTTATTTTTACTTTTCTAATATATAAGTATTTTAGTAAAAAGGAAGAAAACTATCAAAAAAATTTTTTTTAAATTAATATTAAATCTGAATTTATTTTACTAAAAAAAAATAATATTTAACTTATAAAGTAAAAAAAAATTTTTTTAATAGTTTTCTTTTTTATTACAAAAATGTTTATATAATAAGTTGAATTTTATCTTATTTTAATATATAATTCAGATGCTAAATATTTAATTTCTTTTACTTAATATAATACTTTTAATTTATTATTAGTTAATTATAAAAATTTAATATAAATTATAAAAAACATATTTTTTTAAATTAAATATTAATTATATCAATTCTATTAATAACTGCTAAATTTAAAATATATATAATATTTTGATAATGAAAAAATTTAAATTATTAAATTCTTTTTCAAATTTTTCTACTATAAAAGTATAAAAGTATCACAAATAATCATTGAGATTACATCATTTATTATTAAAGTTAATGCTTTTTTTGCTAATTTATATTTTATTATATCATATTAATTTTACAGAGGATCGCTAAAAGTCTCTAAATACTTTTTAATATAATAAATTATTTAAAAATTTTAAAATTTAATAAAAATAAAATATAAAATAAATTTCATACTAATTAATTAATATTTGGTTAGGTTTCCATTTACTTTAATTATAGCTCAAATTTATTGTAGCATACTATTAATCAAATTTTTTTATAGATATGTATAGAAATTCTCTTCATAATTTCTTAATATACCTCTCTAGTTTAAGTAATATAAGAAGGTATTTTTTCTTTTCACAAATGCTTTTTTTGATATCAGCCCACAGATTCTCAATCAGGTTAATGTTAAACTTAAGCAGATTATGAAAGAATATGCAGATCATTTTCTGCATAAAAATTCTTCGCCTACTTCATTTTATGAGGCTAAGCATTATCCTCCTAAAAACTACCATCACTATTTGAAAATGCATTTTAAAATATAATCATATAAATAAGATTCCCAAATGTTATATGACCTTAATATTGTTAAATCACATAAAATTACTAATATTGAATCATACTTAAAAGTGATGTTCAGAGACTTTTGGCAGCCTTCTGTATTATGACGAATTGTTATTAATATAATGTCAAATAAAAATGATTTTACTTTTTAGAAATTATTAACATATTGAATTATAAGATTAAAAATTATTATATTATTAGATATTATTCATATATAATTAGTTAAAGCTATTTTTCTCAGTATTTTACTTATTACTAATTTTATTTGCTTTTTTTTAATTTAAAATATACTACTATTGATCTTTAATTATATATTGATTATAAAATTGATATTTTGAATCAAATTTATTAATTATATATCTCTATTCTGAAAGATTGTATATCATATATAATATAATTAATAATATATTTGTTATATTTTTGTTATTTTTTTTTATAAATATAAATCTTTGTAATAATATATAAAATTTTTGTTATTACTAAATATTAAGATCAAATACTCATATATAATAAATTGTAATACTATTAATTTTTCTTAAATATTAGAATTAGTATTATCATCTCTTATTTCATTATTTTTCTAAAAATTGTTTTTATCTAAATAATTGTAGTATTATCATCTTTATAATAGATAATAAAATAAAATAATATATAAGAAAAAAGTGTAAAAATATTTAAAAAAATTTAATCTTAATTTTATTTTTATTATCACTAAATAATTAAATTAATAAATATTAAAGTAAAATATGCAATTATTACATAAATAAAATTTGAAAAATCACAAATTATTACTTTATATATAATGACTACCAAAAGAAACATAAGTGTGATTAATTATTTTTGAAAAATTATAATTCATCAATCACAAACTATGATTTTGTATTTATTTTAAAGTCTAAATTATAATATTCTGAATTTTTTTTTCCTATTAACGTGCAATAGTTAGAGGATAAGTTGTAGATATATTCTGAAATAGAACATATTTGATCTCACTATTAGATTATTTTTATAGGTCTTTAATCCCATTAAGGGTAACCTACTTAGAAACTATTTTTGTACAATTGCTACCTAGTATAAACTACCTAAATAGTTATTATTCACTATCACAGGCTCATTAGACTTTTTTGAGTACTATCACTTTTGGATAGAGAGCTCACTTTAACTATAGAGTTGTCATACCCTATATTTATAGAATTTTACTCTATTGATAACTTCTAAGATCATAAAATTAGATTTTTTACATAGATAATGATTTTGTATCTATAGTATTAAATTCACCTGAAAATTAAATTCAGTTACTACCTTTAGTGACAGTTCAATTGAATGGTGCTGCAGCAGAATAATGCAGTCTATTATTATTATAGTCATTTAAAAGTAGTATCTAATCTACTAATTACTGGTACTTTCTTACTTGTATAAGAGTTTCTAGGTTTGAAGATGTGTGACAGTATCCATTACAAACCTATTAACAAAGGCCAAGTTTTTGTTAATCCCTAGATTCTTTTGCATCTATATATTTTTCAAAACCTAATATTAGGCATGATTAACACTAATCAATAGATCGATTGATCAGTTTCTAATACATATTAGTATATATATTTACGTATTTAATTATATATGAAATTCTTATAAAAATTATTTAGTTTTATGCCTTAGCTAAGACCTGAACCTATGACTATTGTAGTATAATCTATAATAGGAACTCATACCTTATAGATTAAGCTAGAATTACTAATTTTTAAGATATTCTAACAAATTTTTTTTTTTATTAATATACAGTAGTTGAAGGTAAGCTATAAGCATATTTTAAGGTTATGTTTTATTCTATAATGAGATTACTTTTATATATTTTCGATTCTATTTACAAAATACAGAAACTTATCTAAAAGCATATCTCTATACGATTACCATCTAGTATAGACTATCTAAAATCATTTAAATCTGTAGTCATAGGCTTACTAGATCTTATTGGGTACTGTTACCTTTGAATAGAAGGCTCACTTCAACTAAGTTTGTTATATATCCTATTTTTACTAATATAATTTATAGAGTTTAATCTTATTGATAACTTATAAGACCGTAAGAAATCAGGTTTTTTATATAGATAGTAATTTTATATTCATAACGTCAAATTCATCTAGGAATTGAATTCAACCTCTACTCCTATTGATAACTTGATTAGATAGTGCTGTGACAGTGCAATGCATTCTATTATTACTATAATTACCTAAAGGTAATATCTAATCTACTAACTAATTACTTTCTTACTTGCGTAAGAGCTCTTGAGTTTAAAACATAAAATAAATCCATTATAGACCTATCAGCGAAGGTTAAATTTCTATCGATCTTTGACTTCATTTGCATTTACATGTTTTTCAAAATCTAGTATTTAGACATGATCAACATTGATCAATAGATCAATCAACCAGTTTCTCACATATTAATATAAACGCCTATGTATTTGTTACATATAAAATCATCTAATTTTATGTTTCAGCTGAAACCTAAATGTAATGTAATCCACAATAAGGACTCATACCTTTCAGATTAAACTAAGATCACTAATCCTTAGTTATCAAGTATTAGCAAATTTTGTGTTATATTATAATGTTATATAATTTATATACAGAGGGTTATTATAAGTTTTTGAATGTGACTTTTGAAATGCGATTGCTATATAAAAAAAGTAATGTTTATTATACAAATATGGGTTGTTTTTGTTTATTTGTCTTAAAAAACATTTTTAACTTCATTTTTCTTTCTTACTTTATTTTTTTACAAATTGTGGTTACAACTGCAACAATAGGAAAAATAACGAATTGACTGCAGAACAATAAGGTGTCATATTTTATCTTCGTAAAAATGGCAATTTGTATAATCAGATTGCAAAAACTATTGGATATGACAAAACAACAGTTTATGATACATTAAAAAGGCATGCTGAAACTGGATCTATTGATTCTAAGCCTCGTTCTAGATGACAGTACCTGATCAACATCACAAATCGCAATTAGTTTAAACATTTAGTAACAAACGAAAAAGCACAAAATTGACGATTATGTGCTACTGAAATAATAAAACTATGAAAAAAAAATAAGCCAGAATGTTTCAGAAATTACCATTTATCGCACCCTTTATTCACTTAGACTAAGAAGTTATACTACATGACGAAAACCTCTCATTTCACTAGCAAATAAAGAGGCATGACTTGCATGGTGTTTAAAACATGAAAGTTGGATAAAAAATGATTAGGAAAAAGTATTATAGAGTGATGAATCGACCTTTACTCAATTTTAATAAAGTTGTACTTGCAGAGTATGAAGAGAATCAGAAGATGAATAGTCACTCTCTTGTGTTTCAGTCACAGTTAAACACAGCCCAAGCTGCATGTTTTGGGATTGTTTTTCACGAAAAGAGATGGAACTGATTGTACCACTTCATAGATCAGCAACCAGAGTTACTCACGTTAAAATACTGCGAAAATATGCTTTACCTACAATGAAGCACATGTTTTCAAGAAACAGTGGTTTGTTTTTAGAAGATAATGCTAGACCCCACAAAACAAAGGTTACATCATCATTTTGTGCAGAAAAAAATCTGCATATTCTTTTTTGACCCGCTTAGAGCCCAGACCTTAACCCAATTGAAAATTTATAGGCTGAAGTAAAAAAGAAATTAGAAATAAAAAGAAAAAGCCAACCAACTTTACTGAACTTGAAAGGAATGTTAAAAATGCATGGAAAGCAATTTTGAAATGTCTGATTGAAAATTTAGTCAATAGTATGCCAGCACAAATTCAAGTGGTGATTGCGGCGGAAGGTGGTCCAATTAAATACTAGTTTAATAATACAAAATGTAGGTTTTGATAAGCTTAAAATAAAGTTTTAATAAAGTTTTTTTGGTTGAGCTTTAAAAATTAAGCATTTTATATTGCATAAAAATTTGTTCAGAAACTTTTGATAAACCTCTGTATAAAAAGTCATTTCCGATTAATTTAGGTTAAAGTTCGAATTTTAAGGTAATTATAATTTAAATGAACTTTCAAAACCATATACTGTATGTTTTTAACTTATTATTCAATGTATATTGTACTAATAAAAAAGAGGATTTTCGTTAAATTTTATATGTAAATGCAAATGAATTGCCGATCATTTATTTACTAATTCAAATTTGCCAATATCGTTCTGTAACATTTTCCTTGATTGTTAATTTTTGATGGTAATGCCGCAAGGGCGCGTAACTATTTTCTGGGTTGTTGAGTCTTAATTACGTAAAATATTTTATTAAAATAGATTATCTTTCGAAGAAACATAATTTCAAGAAAGCATTTATTCAGGCATAGACAATTTTAACGATTATTAGAATACATTTTCAGATACTGAGACTGAACAAGCTTGTCTGAGCTCATCAAAACCTTCTGCTTTAAAATTTTCAACAATTACATAATCTTTTTCATCCTTAGTTAGATTTAAGACGTATGATGGGGGAATAATCCGCGCTATTAAAAAGTTTATACATCTTCTCGGATCTTTCCGAAAAGCTTCATCAGAGCATTTTGTCTTGTCCTGAACCTCATTTTTAACCAAAGCCCGAGATCCATCTTTCTGTGGACGGTCTTCTCTTAACTAAAGTCAAGACTTCATCAAATACAAAATAACTGTAAATAATGTAGCTAAAATTTCGCTGACCTTGGTTCAGGAAAAGTCAGAGAATACTGGTTGCATACACACATCATACTCGTATCACCTTAGTGTCTTAGGAAAGAATAATCACGTACGTACATTCCGTTTCAGAACAAATACCACAAGTGATGAGAAAAGCATGCATTACACACATACACTAGTTGAATGGCAAACTTTATTAACTTTGGTTTGTTATTTTTTAATGACTGACAAAGCGCCGAAGCGTCAAAGTGCAGTAATATACATTAATTATATCGAGAACTTTCACATTATAAATCAGATAGTATTTGTCTGTAAATACATATTCAAGTGCCAATATGTTTACTATATCCCAACTAATGAACTACGATAATCCTTTTTCGGTTTCTGTGGTGATCGGTACTCCTGTAATCGGGCATTCATTAACACTTTTCCACTAGTGAATTTTCCTTAAAAGCCCTTTCCTTCATAAGCTTGAAACGGCAAACTGTAAGATTCAACAGTTTCTGCAAATAGCAAGGAAGATGAATATAAAACTATAATTTAAATACTGGGTTTTGGATTGTACCAACCTTAACCTGAAGCATAATGCGCGAAACCCTAATGATAGACCCAAGTTCCGAATATGTCGTTGGAATATCAAAGTCTGCCAAGTTTACTGATGAATAAAACCCACCTCCTATATAAACAACTAAGAAGGCACGAATAAAAAAACAATGAGATAAGAATCCAGGCATGAGAAGCTTGGTGGTAGCTCTTAATACTTGTTTTGACAGCATTCCTCCACCTTCAACTGATATAGCTTCATTCTTTCGATTTCAATCATAGAGCCGGTGCGCTCGCAAAGTGAAAATTCGCGACCATACGGCAAATCTTTTGCTAGATCATGCTTCTGTTAATTTAAGTTAGTATTGGTAAGTAATATTAACAATGAACCTCCAAAATCTAGTGTACCGTGAACATCCAGTCCATATGATAGCCTTCTGTGGTTTCTGGGGTGTCTATTGCCCTAACTCGACGATCTCGAGAAGCCCTTGATACCATCTCCCCACTTATTTAAGAACAATTATAAGTATTATTAACAACAACGAAAATGCTTAGAATTGACAGTGGAACTTACAAGTGGCTGTCTAGAATATTGTCAAGGCACGAAAATAGGTGCCGTTGATGAATACATCAACGTCTCTTTCAGAATATTTTCGCTGGGGAATTCCCTTCGCAAGCATTTCACATCTGGTTAAAGTTATGGTTAAGGAACTAAGCAGATACATGCAGAATAATAAAATTTCCGAATTAACATGAATTGAATAACTTACGTAAATCGAACCAAGTCCAAAATAAATTGCACATCAGGGTTCAGGTAGTCTTTTTCTTCAACAGAAGGTGTTGGCTTTACCTTATCATTCGTATCTTCATTGCCAAATAAAGAAACGCTTAAGCTTGATGTCTCAACGTTCTTCACTATTTTCTGAATTTCAAGGATAGCTCCATGTGATCCTTCGAGTTGCACTATTTTTCCAACCCTACTGAGATGATCGTTATCAAGCTGGGATCAAAACGTACGTTAATAAATAATACAAATAAAATGAAACAAAATATAATAATGCTAAATTATCAACACTGACCTTAGCAAGAGCCTGTAAACACCTCTCAACTGAAGGTTCCAGTATAGCCCAATCTTCAGTGGGATTGCCTACATTAAGGACAGATGCAAATACGGCGATCAGCTCCGACATGTCCGCTTCAGTCAGAAGATCTGATGTAATTTTTGGATCAGAGGCATCTATTATTCGCCACCAGATCGGGCTAAGAATTAGTCAAGAATTGGTCAGGACTTGGTGCAACAAAAAGTAAAAATAACCTTATATATATCAAAAAAAATACCTTAATGACGATTCATATCTGGAAGACGGATCCGTTTGTGAGATCAAAAACTTTTGTCGGTTTATTACTTTCTTTAGCCAGGTTGGCTCTGGTTCATCGAACTCCCAAACCATCGGCTGAGGTTCGAAAACAGTATCAATAACCTGTATGTGCATACAAAAGGTTTTAAAAAAAAAAATGCTTTTATATGCTAAACATAAAACGTAATTACCTCAGGCACGGAAGTTGATGGACTGAATTGACGTTCGGGTGTTCGTTGTTGAGCCTGAAACTGCGAATCATGTGACACCACAATCTCCTCTTCATCACTTTCATTTGGTTTGATCTTTTTCTGCTCTGGACCAAATTCGTTTTCTCGATTTTTAGGAGTTTGTAATTTTAAACCTTCGAATAAGGCTTCCTGTTCAATTGCATGTTGAAGAAACTCATCTCGCTTATGTTTTTCTTTCCGATGAATAATCTAAAAGAGATAATGAATATGTATTTCCGAATTTATCTATTATAAATAGTGATAACTTTATGTGAATACCATACCTCAATTACCTCGTCCTTTTCGCTGTCCGTTTCGTTGTTCACTTTCCCAAACAAATTGGATGATTGAAAAAAGTTTTCGATCTCGTTGTTTAAATCCTACATAAATTTAGCTATTACTGCTGATCATCACGATTTCTAGGAAAATAGGTGCAGAAGCAAGTGACACAAAAAAAAGAACATATATAAATATACCGGTCCATAGTTAGAGTCATCGGTTTTCAGTTTGTTATCTACTTCGTTTAAGGCGGTTTTGATCAACTTCTCGTGCCATACATTACTGTTCGAGCCGTATTTACCTAATAAGGATATGTAATAATACAAGTTTGAATTGGAATAGGAACTCAAAGTAATGGGAATGTAATAAAACTTTCTAATTGTAGACTCGAATTGACGACAGATGACTCTGTTATTCCAAAACATCTGAACATCAGGATATTTTTCACGATGATTCTTATATGTTGAAGTAATTATAATAGTTAGAGCGATAATAAAAAATAAAACTAAAGCTGAGGGCACGCAACGGGCACTCAACGGAAACGCAGACCATAAGGTGAACAAAGCGCAGATGTCACCGTAGTTGAGTGCACAAGAAAAATCCTGTGATACACGACGAAAACGCAGATCTTCAGAGGGTCAAAGCGCAGATGTCCCTCCTAGTCGCATAACCACGTTCGAACCCTCAACATAAAAAAAAGGAATAATCTTATAGTTCTGTAACAACCGGTTTGCTACTTCCGAATCTTCTTTCATTAGTTCTACAAGATCGCACCTAAGTTTACGGGACTCTTTTGGTACGAAAAAGTGAAGTCAGATTGCTGACGACGATATTTATAGAAACCAAGAAAGGTGTAATTTTCTGGTAGCGTTTCACGAAAGTAATTAGAATATCTGTTGGACATAGTGAGAAAGAGAGTAAAAGACGCGATTGAAGCGTGATGGAAGTTTGTTTTAATTGGTTTAATATTTGTGATCTACATAAAATGTTACACCAAATCAAACCAATAAAAATTCTAAATTCTTGTCACGTGTATATTAATATAGCGAAGCGCGTTCATGATAAAGAACACGTATACATAGCATGTATGATAATAAAGTTGAGCTGTTATGAATAAATTAATCTTTTAGGAAAACAATTTGTTTTATTTATAAGATAAAAAGGTTAAATAAAGAATAAAAAATTTTTTTTTTAAAAACCAATTTTAAAACTTTAATATTTTATAATTTTAATATAATGACTCGAAAAAATCTTGGCCCTTGTTCTATTCATAATTGTCAAATAAATTCAAATCAATATCGCGGAATTACAACTAATGCATTAAGAAAAGCAAAAGAAAAAGGCACCTTTGACCAATATAATTATTTAGAATTTGGAAAACAATTATGTTATCCGCATTATCTTAGTATTATTGAACCCGATCGCAATAAAAATTACAAATTAATAGTATTCGAAATAATCCTAATAATCCTAATATTCCTAATATACAAAATAATGTAATTGTTAATAATAATAACATAAACCATTATCATTTGCCAACAAGATTACAATATGACTAAAGTATTATATGAAAAACAAAGAAAAGAAAACACTACTCTCGAATTGGATCCAAATACTTTTCAAACAATGCTTGAAAAATGCTGAACCATTATTAAAAGGATTGTTAATGAATTATATAATTCATTTACTCCAGATAGAAGATCTGCTCATAATAAAAATGAAAACAAAAAAAAGGTGGTTAGTATATGCTATTCAATAGCAGTAATACGAAATAAATTTGTAAACCAATATCCTTTGAAAATTGGACTTTACTTTACAGCATCGGGTGTATCATGTGATGCAATTAATACAATGCATAATGCCGGCATTTCAGTTTGCTATAAAACTGTTGAAAATTATAAAAAAAAAATAGCTAATGCACATCCAGAAAATATTCGAAAGTATTTTACCGAAAAGGTAAACACTTTTTTGATATAT